GTGACATATCAACAAAATGAAATCGTAACTTTGTAGAGAAAGGTCTTAGCTTCAAAATTACGGCTTATTTTTTGGTGCTACATTTCCATTTTTGGAGTTAGAAGGATCTACAAGGCCAATAAAAAGTTGTGGGACTAGGTGTCTTGCACTATACAATTCAATTAATTAGTAATTCTAATATTTCAAAATTGAAATTTCCGTTCAATATTGTAATAATATTTCAAAATTGTAACATTATTTCAAAATTGCGCTAATATTGGAAAGACGATTCTTCCTTAATAAAGTTAAATAAATTACGATGTTATACAAATAATTAATAGAAATAAAAATAAAATAAAAAATAAAATAAAAATAAAACATATTACGAAAATAGATGTAATACAGATAAAAATAATACTAAGTTAATATATATTAATAAAATAAGATTATAAAAATAGAAATAAACAAAATAAAATGATAAAAATTAAGAATTTCGGAATTAGTTAAATTCGGCCAAAAGAGCGTCCAAATCTAATTCCGGTAACAATATTCTTTATATTAATCAACATAAAAAAACTACCCAGAATTTCGGCTATTGAGTTAAAGTATTCAAATAATTCGGATATAATTTCAGTAACTATTAAAGTTAATTTTGGCAACTATGAAAAACTATTTCGGCATTTCGGATTTGACAATGATCATTTGTTAAGAGAGATAATTTTGGCTAACATGCTTAAACCTGTGAAATGCTATAATAGAGTATGATGGTGGTTGTTTGTTGTGTTGTTAATATAAAAAATCGTTTACAAAGAAATAAACAAATGGTCGTTGAAATAATTATTTTGGTTGGTGCAAGTCTATCCCGAAAAGGAAGTTGATGATCAGGGTCCTTCCTAAAAAAGGAATGATTAGCGACGATCTTTCCTTTTTTAGGAAGGACCGGTTGGACAATGACCAAAAAAAGGAAGTGAAGCCACATACATAATAATAAAAAATAAATTTCAAAATTCGGAACTCTTAAATTATTATTATTATTATTATTATTATTATATACAAGGGCCAAAACCAAGAGAAATTGTATGCTTTATTTGAGGATATAAACTACAAGCTAATATAAAAATTTTTTTTTCAATTTTTACAAGGGCCAAATCATGAAAAATTGCACACAAATAATTAATAAAACTTAATTTTTATTTTAATTTATTCTTATAAAATATGCTGCAAGTAAACAACATAATAAATATATAATAATTAAATAGTTCGCCTTGATTGATGATGATAGGTTGTACCAAAAAATAATTTTTTGAATTTTTTTGTCCAGGTCGGCCCACATACTAGCAATCATCGTAAGCTCGTCATAAAAGTCACAGCAAGTGTAATTTGTATTATGAAGGTGTCCTAAAAATTTAACTATTTTTTCAAGTTTTAAAATTGTCTCGTCATCGTTTGGTTTAATACACTAATATAAATTAGAAAAATTGGAAAAAAATCAAATTATAATATAAATTAATTTGTATATACTTTTATTATTGATAGGCGCCTTTGTATGACAACCAACAACTTCTTGGTGTTCCTCTGTTGGCAGCGTGAACGAGGCATCTAAATAAAGTTAATAAAAAAAGGTTAGTCAAATGAATGACTAAACAAATCCAGAAAAATGCCCTCAAAAAAATTCTGATTTTTAGCAATAGACTCAGTGCTCCTACTCAAATCAAAGAAATGAGTGGCCCTAAAGTCTATCTCTTCAACTACAATAATAACCCAGTGCTCCTGACCCGGCCCTAAGGTTATCATGTAGTTAAATAATCAGAACCAATCAAAAACACATTTCCAAGACTTGCCTTAAAGGTTGCTGTGGTGCAGCGGAATTGTATTAATTGTATTTGTATATTGTTATAAAAAAAGAGGAAAAGAAAAGAAGTTCTTTTTATAAGAAAATATTACCTTATGAACAACGTGTTTTGAGTAAACCAACAAAAACAATAACAATTACAATAACAATTACAAAAACAATAAATAATAATAACAATGATAATGATAATGATAATAAAAAATTCCAAAATGTTCCATTTTAGTTAGATTTCAAAGGCTGTGTGCATAACCACGCATAACCAGAGAAAATTTTCCACTTCTAGAAAGTAACACGAGCTACTGACAAGCCACCATTATTAGCAGGGTTGGCATTGTCCAACATTGTCCAATGCCAACCCTGCTAATTATTATTAGCTTATGTTCGAAATAATGAATTATTAGTATGATTCCTCTACATAATTAATTACCGGAATTAATGAGAGGAATGTAATTTATTATTATTAAATATAAATAAAAGTCTTTCTAAATCATGAATGTTTTTATCAATTATTCAAAGTTATATAGGCAGGTTGATTGAAGTGTTAAAGACAAGATATATGATGTATAAAGCTTACAAATCATACTTGATGAATGTTATCAATTATTCAATGTCTATGAAGCTTGAAAAGCAAATTTGTAAAATATACTTATGAAAGTTTATCAATTATTCAATAGCTATACAGGTGGGTTTGATGGAATTAAAGTGTTAAAGATAAGATTGCATTTTAATTTATACATTATTTATATAGGCGGGTTTGATGGAATTAAAGTGTTAAAGATAAGATTGCATTTTAATTTATGCATTATTTATATAGGCGGGTTTGACGGAATTAAAGTGTTAAAGATAAGATTGCATTTTAATTTATATATACACTTCCTGGTCATAAATATAAGGACACTTGCAGATCATCGGAAATAATTGAATAAAGAAACATGAAAAAAA